GCCTATTTTTTGTTTGCAACTGTCATTGTCGTTTGGCAGGCCTGGGCTGGGTTCAAACCCACCAGCTCCGGTGTATGTGGCTGGTGCCCTACTCAGAAATGTAAAGAGTCATAAAGCTTATCCAGCAAAATCCAACATTCTTATATCATGACACAAATGAAAAGACTAAAGACAGACTGCTTAAGTTTCTTGTTCAGAGATTCCTAACATAAGTTAGTGCCAGGCAACGCAAATCAAACATTATTGAAATATTTATTTTGTGTAAAATCCCACACTGCCACTATAAAAAGGAATATGAACTGCCTCTACCTCTCAAAGATACGTTGAGCTAGTAAAGGGCACAGGCATATGAAGCCATTATAGAAGACGCAAGTGCTAAAAGGAAGGAGAAATGAGCTTCTTTCCACTTTAGAAAACTTCCTGAAAGTGAAACAGGAATTTAAACAATGTGCAGGACTGCTGTTATAAACAAGAAGCAAGAGTATAACAAGAAAAACCAAGAAGCAGTAAATAAACAGCATATTCAGAAAAAGTAAATAAACCATTATGGCTAGGTATGGAGTGATAGAAGATAACTCTAAGAAAGCAAAGTGCAGACAAACGCTAGGCATAAGTGTTTCCTATTTTCTTCATTAACTCACCTCTCATCGCCCTAGGACTCAAAAACCTAGGACAGGGCTAAATATGATAGGAATTCAATAATAATTTATAATAACAGAAACACTAAGGACAGCTAGTATTTAGAGTGAAATTATTACTTGCCATACATGTACTATACACATCATGTGTTACTCATTTAACCCTCACTAAAAAAGAATCTATGATAGGCACTAATATTACTCTTCTATCACATAAGAGATAACTGAACCTGAGAAAGAATAAATAGCTTTTACAAAACACACTGTTAAAGTGGATTCATATCTAACTTATCTGTCTCAAAAGTCTACGAACTAAACCAAGAAAATGCTAACAAATTCGCCAACCAGAAAATTTACAGATTCTCTATCTCTAAACAGAAAAGAGACAATAAAGAAAATTATCCCAGAGAAATGTCTAGCTAGATTGCACTCTCTAACTTTAAAAGAAGGGTTTTGTCCTAACGTCACAGCATGCTCTAAAGAGTACAGTATAAAGCTGCAAAACTTCCTATAATTGAATGGCCTTGGACAAGTTATTTTACGTTGGGGGGGCTTCAATTTCCTTGTCTGAAAAGGGGGTTTAACAGTAATTACTCGTAATATAAGAATGAGATAATGCAGATAGAGCGCTTAACACAGTGCCAGGTACAAAGTAAATTAAACCACGATTGTCTACAACACAGTCCCTGCCCACGTAAGCAACTAACGAGAGGCAACCAGAAGAATTGGACGAGTTCACGTGGAGATGAAATAGTCTATGTCCAGAAAGATCAGAGGAGAGTGTTCAGAAAACACTTTGCTCATGGCCCTTGGGCAATGGGTAATTCTGATTCCTGAAGGACTATGTAACTAGTGGCAGGAAAAATAGGGAGACAAGGCAGAGACTGTCTTGTTCGCTTCACTGGCTCCAGAGCTTAACGCACAATCCCGGACACCGGCGCTCAGCAAAGGACTTAATTGACCGACTAGTAAGAAGCCTCGAGCCTTTCTGAAACTCCGAGGCGAAAGACTTACCCCAAGGCCAGCTTCCCCGAGTTCCTCAGGTTTTGTGTCCATAACGCACCTGCAACATCAACACAAACAGTCAACTCATACTCCACCTCGACTTCCTCCAGGGGCTTTACCACAAATAGATCCTTACCCAACTGTGTCAGGACTGCCGCCGCCATCTTTCTGCCTTCCCCTACGGAAGCCGACGAGTTCAAACGTCAAGGACCACGCATGCGCAATACTCCTGCTTTCCCCGCGATAGGGAGCCCCGCTGACGTAAGCCACCAAAGGGTTGTCATGGAGCCCGCGAATACGCGGCGGCTGCTCACGCTGTGGTCAGACCACACTTGCTTGCAAATGAATGACTTAATAAAGGCCAAAAATTACTGGGCTTCTGTAAATTCACCTGGGTCCAGAAAAATTGTGAATCTTTACCTCACAAATTTTTTTTTGTTTTGGGGTTGTTTTTTTTTGAGACGGAGTCTCACGTTGTCGCCCTGGGTAGAGTGCCATGGCGTCATAGCTCATAGCAACCTCAAACTCTTGGGCTCGAGCGACCCTCTTGAAAGGAGTAGGGAACAGAAATCTTGAACAATCCACCTAACTCCGGGGGAGAGGGGCGGTGTCTCGTTTTTCTTGTTATAACTACCTCTATGGCACAAGTTGATTGTAAAGATCACTTGAAATCGTGTGAAACCTCTTTTAAAGAATGAATGGCTCAGATATAATGCATGATCTCGAAGACATCAAAAAGAGTTAATATTCATCAGGCACTTAGCTACCATATTTATCTGGCAGGCATTTCGCTAAATTTCATTTACTCCTGACACCAATCCAACAAGTGATGGATTATCACTTGGTTAAAGTCTCTTAGTTAACAACTGGCAAGTGGTCAATCCGGGGCTGGGTGCCTCCAAAATCGGTGCCCCTAGACGCATCCAAATCTATATTTGACCTCTCTACATTAAAGATAAGTATTTTATATTTCTGTTTGCTACATATGCAGGAGTGCCAGATATCCATTGTAAACAAGCAATACAGGCATAGTGCATAATCTGAGCATTTTAGCATGCTGAACGTTGGGATGAAACTTCTACTCTTTTTCTTCCACAGCACTTATCACACAGGCTTCCCACACAAATTGGCGCTCAATCAAGCAAATCACAAGTCACTCCATTTCCTTCTCTTTAATCTTTGAGCACCAAGTATCCAGAGCCAAAATTTCCACCCAGTTACAGAAATTGTTCCATTCCATTTTGATTTCAGATTCACAATTTTATCCTTTGTTTATTGGCTTCGTGTGTGTATCTTTCGATCATCTGCATAACTAGCGAAGCGCCCTGGCACACAGCGTTAAAAAGATAACTGAACCGGATAGCAGTTAAACAAATCCAAAGAATAAACTGACAGTGTGGGGAGGCAGCTCCACCCGTCCTTTTGTGTCTTGCTGTGCAAAGTGAAGGATGCCTTGGGTCTGGGCTTCGACAATACCAGGTGCTAGCTAGGTTTGGGGTGGACCCCGCGCCGCACCCAAAGCTAGGGAGCAGAGCTCTGCGCACGCGGCCCCGCCCTTCTCATTTCGGCGTCTGCGTGAACCGAGTGCGCCGTGCTGTTTGGGCCTCGGTACGCGCCGTAGCGGCAACCCGAAGAGGCGGAGCTCAGAGTCATCCCGCCCACCCCGGCGTGGGGCTGCGTACGGCCTGCCCCAGTGGCTGCTTCCTTCACCTCCGGCGGCCTGTAGCAATGGGGCAGGAGCCGCGGACGCTGCCTCCTTCCCCCAACTGGTACTGCGCCCGCTGCAGCGATGCGGTGCCCGGAGGCCTCTTCGGCTTCGCGGCGCGTACCTCCGTCTTCCTTGTCCGCGTGGGCCCGGGCGCCGGCGCGATCCCTGGGACTCCCCAGTTTCGAGGTAACTCCCCATCTGTGGGCCCTAGCCTTCCTGCACTCCCCGGGGTCGCGGAGTGGGCATCTCTAGACACTCCTGTTTCTACAGATAGGAAAATTAAGGCCCAGGTAGGGGGAAGAGTCTGCCCTTAGCTGCCAAGCTGATTTGCGTTCCGTCTGCGTCTCCTAGAGTGAACTACACCGGAGTGTAGCCTAGCTGTCCCGCCTCTTGGCTTGCACGTGGGGACCGCTCGCTTAACTGAAGTTAGCCTCGTCTAGACCTGGCCATTTAGAACATTTAAGGCTTCCTTCGCCTACCCAGTGCACTCTAGTTCCCTGGTAACCTTCTTGGAATTAGGGACTGCCTACAGCTCAGACCCTAAGAAAGGTCCTGCCGATATGTGATACTCAGTTCTGTAAGATGAGTGGATTGAGCTAGATGCTTTCAAACTCCAAATTAGGCTTTGACTGTACCTTGGATTCCCATGTGCTAGATACTTTATTCTAAACGACTTCTCTGTTCTAATTTATTCTATTAGACTTTTAGATTTAAATAAGACACTTTAGGCTCGGCACCCGTGG